ATTGCCTCTAGTGCAAACTTATTTTTTTAACCTAGCAATTGGACATGATCCCAAAGGGCTGTATATTGCAGTAGTGAATAAAGAAATTCAACAAAGACAACCCGGAGAATGTAAACCTGAATACTACAAAGGATGTTTCCTCGATAATCCTAATGATGTAATAATGAGTTGTGCATATGTCGATCAAATAAAAAATAAATCAATGAATATTGTAAGTAAATCGTATTAGTAAAATGATAACTTAGCGAACTGGTTGCAATCATTAGATTAAGGTACTCATTTTATTGTTTTGATTATTTACCTACCGGCTACCTATGGACAAATGCAATAATAATTATTCTATTATTATGGTTACAAATTAAAGTATTAAATTATGTTTAAATACTGCAATATTTTTTAGTTTCAAAGTATTTTATTCGTCCTCAAGTACTATTTATACGAATTTATATACACGTATATTATATTTATAGGTCATTCAAATTGTACATTACAAAAATGCTGAGGATTAAAAGTTGGGTATAATAATATTACGTAGGTACTTAATATCATAACCCTTATCATTTGTGTTCGGTATAAACATTTGAAGGACACCCGGGTGGATGTGTGTGTGTGTGTGTGTGTAATAAATGTATAATATTCTTTGATAAAGGAAATATATGCACATAGTTGACAAGGTATATATTAAATTCCATTACTTTGTGCTGTGTATAATAAGTACAATGGAATGATATAAAAATATTTGCAACAAATATTCTGTTTATTTTTTTTTTCATTTCTTTTGGATCATATTTGGTTAACAACGTTAAGCCATGTGTGGTCTCAATGGAATTCACGCAAGGAACTACCATATTCTTCCAATGTCTTTAAATTTATTTTGAAACTTACAATATAAGATTTGTTTTCTTATATGGGTACATCATAACATTTGAATTGCTGATTTTTGATTTTCAATATCATAAAAAACAATTCAATACCTATAAAAAAATATATCAATACGTTGAATAATACAGTATCTATATTCTATATACATCTACCCAAAATTCGCTCAAAAATAATCCGGTGTAAATGTTATRTGTTGTATTATGTTGTAATTTTCGGTTAGTTGTCATGTATTTTTCTGGTTTTATGTTCAGGATAAATATATTAATAACCAAATAATTAATTTATAAAACRTCTAAATTACAAATATAATATCATCATAATATTACGCAATTTTATTTATTCATAAATATTTGTTTGCATTTTTTATAAATAATTGTGATTCATTTATTATTATCTGAAAAATATTATGTAACCAAAATCATTAGAAAAAAAAATTTGTATTCAATTTCATATTTTTTTCCTTAACAGTTACATTATGACGATATCGATTCCGCTCTAAAAGCAGTGAAGAAGAATGACGCTTGGGGTTTATTATATTTCCCGACTAATTATACCACATCCATGGCTGTACGTTTCATAAACGCCTCTAGGACTTCAGACTTAGATGTCGAACTAAGTACAGTGCAGGCTTGGATAGACTTGTCTGGTAAGTGATTGAAAGTTTCCATGTTAAAAGCACATTACCAGAAATAAAGTTTAAAATACATAAACCCTTAAGTAGAAATTGGGAATCCTAGCTATTTTTTTTTTTTTTTAATTTAAATAAACTTAAAATTAAAAATATTTAACATAATGGCATTCAATAATAATAAATAATCAACTGTAAGTATATATATTTTAAATTATGCATTTTATTTAAACTTTAAAATGTCTTTAAATAAATAATATATCTATTCCATTTAAAACAGTCAAGAATAATTTATAAAATTAAAAACAATTCAATTTGGAATATTTTTACGTTATAATGCGTTTTTTTTTTTAAACATAGATCAATACATTGGGAATATGGTAAGAGCAAATGTTATTTTTGGTATGCAAGAGTACTTGGGTATAGCATTGACTAAATGCAATGTTAGCACTAAAATTGGAACCACTCCTATTTCGGTTTGTATATTTATTAAAAAAAATTCACGATAAAATTAAAAATTGAAGTATTAATATATTTTTTGTATTATTTTAGTTTAGAGAACCGATATATGGCTCGGTAAATACAACTTTCATCCACTATGCTTCAGCAGCTATACTGTGTCTGTGAGTATATTAATATTATTATAAATAAAATATAATAAGGTAGTTATAAATCTGTAATCGCATAGAATATTAAATTTTAAGCTAAAAAAATTATAGTTTTCTTTTATGATGYGGAAAAAAAAGAAAAGATAATATGATTTTCATGCCTACTTAATAATTGTCTTCGTTTTGATAATGCAATTTTTATTAAATTAAATTTTATCGTTCAGTTTTTAAAACACTAGAACAAAAGGAAAATTTCCCAAAAGACCAGCATTAAAATCTGTTAATACAAAAGTTTAGAACAACTTAAATAGATTGTGGGAATATATAAAAGAATAATAAGAAGGTTGGAATTCTTTTGTTTACAATCWTACAGCGTAAAATACATATAATGTGATAATTTTATTTATTAGGAAAACATTTTTTGAATTTCGCATGAAATAATGCAAAATGTCTTCATTAAAAATATAAATATTAGTCATAGATAGGTACATTAAATGGCATATATTTTACTATAATAAAATATTTCTTGATACTTTTAGATTCTGTGCGAAGCGACGAATGTATTGGTTTTACAATGATGTTTATTTATTTTTTATATTTTTATTTATTTTTTTGTAATTCGATTAAAAACATTCGTAAAAACTTGAAATTTAGGTTGTTTACTTATATTAGCCTTAAATAAACATGGTAAAATTTTCAAAAAATTTAAGCGAATTTATAGTTTTTTTTTCATTTTTATGATATTTCCTAATTATAAATTATAATTATAATTATATAAATCGTTCTTAAGCTGTTCTTATAACGCTTTGTTTATCACCATAGAAATGAATAAAATTAAATAAAAAAAGTTCCCTCGTCTGCTCAGGATCGTTTTATATCGAATGCAATCATTGCGTTCAAATCGAATACAGTAAAATTATAATGTCCTGTCCGA